TAGGATTGGCGTAAGCACAAAGTGGTATTTAAAAAACAAACAGTAGTAATTTGTCGAAAATATCATGACTGTTACAATAAAAAGGTGACGGAATATTTTAATTAGAAAAACTGCGTTTTACGCCTTAGAAGTATAATAATTTTCTACTCCGTACACTCAAATAGCGGTTATCAACAGTGCGCAAAGTGTCACTTTTAGAAGCTTCCGTTACCACGGTAACGAGAGATTTCGGATTTTTCCGATACTTTAGTCACCGGTTTGGGAGCCATCTAATATTTTCGTTAGTATTTAGCCACGGATAATATTTTGATGTTCGCCAATTGTAACAGCTTCCGCAATCAAACTCCTAATTAAAATGGCGTTTACCAAATATCTAGAATAATACTAACTCTAACTCTAAAAGTATCAAAAAGGCTGGACGTTTTTGGAGTTAGAACAATCGGTATAAATTGCTTCATGTAAAAAGTTAATGTTGCTGCATAAAACTTGGAATGGAATATTGGTAAAGGAGACGCGGACTTTCTATAATTTTGCTCCACTTTCTATTCGGTCTAAATGAACATTTATAATAATTACTAGGCTGGAGGCCAAATCAAGTTGAGACACCTACAAGTTAATCCCAAAAAAAAAATTAAAAACCGGTTCTCCGTACTATTTGGTGTACCTACAAATGCTAGACAGGTAGAAATACTAAAAGATACATTCTACAATTTCATACTAAGGGCGTTGTCATTCACGACTTAAATAAGAAACTTAGTTAGAAACTAGTTAGGTAAGGTGCTATCGTGTTCGAATCCGTAATAAAATCTATTCCAATATTGCCACTACTCTCGCATAGCTCAACATTGTTAGCATTTGTGTAAATGTTTTTAAATTATAGACCGACCCTTTATTATCATTGTATATTTTGTATTTTACGAAGATTTCTTTCCAACATATACGATTAGTTATAAACACCAAGGGGATTAAAGGGGAACGTGCATAATTTGTTACTATTTCTAGATTGTATTGGTGAGCAACTGATAAATAAAACATTTAGTTACTGGGTTCGACTTATCAAATTGTACTAAGCTCAATTAATAGTTTATAAAACGGTGTAGGCCTTTTTTTGCCGGTCTATTGTTAGCGTTCCTGTGTTGGCAGAATAATTAGGCGTGCATTATTTAGTGGCAATTTTCAGCCGAACACACAGATCTAAAATATGAACGTCTATACATATACGTGACTGGGCAATGGATAAAAGGCGGAAATCGTTCGGAACCTGTGTATAATACGTATACTTTAAATGTAAGCGCCGACAATCAAATTGGAACAAATTGACGGATAGAATAGTATCGGTGTGTGGATCTTCTGTTCACCATAATTTTATTGATCCTATATATTTATTGGCCCGGCATTACCACTCTGTAAAACTTCACTGTCAAAGAATATTTACTCCGTATAAAAGCAAAAGAGAAGCGAAAAACATCCACTTTGCTTTCAAATCCGACTTCTTTAAAATTTCGTAAAACAACTCTCAACTACAGGATAAGGAACATTCCAAGAGAGAATATCCGTGCCTTAATATCTATCCTTGTACTTTTCGAACGGTGAGACGTGCTCCTAAGAACCTCAACAGAGGGTACTCGGGTCAACACATATAAGCAGCGATAGTTGAACGAATATCCAACCACTTGGCTACTCAAAAAGGCGCTCGGGAGAGAAACTTTAGCAAAACGAGGCGTGTTGGTTCAGAGCGATCTAAATTACTAACAGTTTTGTAGGCACTCTGGAAATGTGCTGGTGCCAAGAGTCCCAATTCTGAAGCTCTTAAGGCCAAATATCTTAGTCTAGTCAGTCGCATACTACTACGACTGCTGCTGGGGACCCGGATAGGAGAATGATACCTAAGAAGGCATCTTCATATCGGGAGGGTTGTCGACGGCAACATAGATACTTAACTTCTATTTCCTAGTCTGCCCAAAGATGAAAGATTCTTTTATATATGGAAGTAACTGACTCGATTAAGTAAACTTTTCAATCGAAGATATCGCAGAAAAATTTCAAATTATTTATTGATTGATTTAAAGAGTATATATTCTTCTCTATATAAAATTACTGGCCTCAAAGAGTTGCTTAATTGGGAAGTAATAGAGCAAACATTAAAGTTATACGTCGCCCGAGAATCTTCTGATTAGACGTCCTAATCCCAAGATTTATCATACAAGTTCAAGTCAAGTACATTGGTACAACATTAACCAGAAATTATACTAACAACTTGATGAAAAAAAAAAGTGAGTGGAGGCAACTTATAAAGATCATCTAATTAGACTAATTAGTAAACCCAAGGTGTGAAAAGATTATTTTCTTAAAGTTATAGTCCATGAAATCATGGATCTCGTTTCTAAACTGATTTAATTTTAATGTCATATACTGAAAAGGTATATTATTGTACATGAAACCACTCTCATCCATGGTTCAGGAAGATTGTTAAGTATGTATAACCTACAGGTTAATTTATTTGCAAATTTGTTGTTGTTATAACAAAGTTTAAGAACATTAAGGACTAAAATTGACTTCTGGTCAGGTTTCCTCGACGTTTTACACGTATGCAGTCTCGCAATTTATGTAATAAATGCGTAATATTTACCATTGACAGTGGTATTAGTTCCTTTAAAATTTAAAAGATCGTGGCCATCACCTTTTTTGTTGACTGACAGACTCTGAATTTTCTTCACCCTTAGTACGCCACTCCATTGATTCTTTTTTCGATACAATAGTTTCTATCACAGGCTTCGGTTCCGACCCATAGAGTTCCAAGAATGACCGTGCACACTCGACACGGCGTTGTTTTTGAATATCCGAAAGGTTTTTAGGAACCCATCTTGCACTAACCTTATGCATACCTAAATGATAATGCAGGATTCGACGAACACTTGTATCAGAAAGCTCAGTAATTTCTGAAATTTCATTGACCTTTAAACGTCGATCACTCAATACTACCTCTTCCACAATCGCAACAATATCTTCCGTTGATATACTAAAACAACGTTTCGGACAGTTGTATCACGGCCATTATCAAGAGTACACAAAAGTGTAAAATAAAGTTTACACTTGATAACGGGCAGTGAAACATTGTGTAAGTTAAAAATAAAGACAATGGAAGTTCGACATCCTTTTAGTATTTCTACTGAATCAGTGTCTACCACCTTCAAGCAAAAATATCTTCCGTTATGACCTCCACTGGTCTACCAGTTCTTGAATCATCTTCAAGGGACTCCTGCCCCATTCTAAAATGTTTTGCCCACCCTTTCACTACAGAACACGAAGGAGAACTTTGGCCGTACACACCATCCAGCCTTTCTTTAATAATTTTAGGTGCTAACCCTTCTTTTGTCAAAAACTTTATGACTGCTCTATACTCAATTTGTGTTATTTGCGACATTTTTTTGGACACAAGACTTCAATTTTTTTTTCGCAGCCTACTAAGATATATTTATTTAAAAGAAGTCAAATTTTTAGCGTGATACTGGAGCTGCATCTATGTCAGGCCGGGAAATTTAGGCGCTAACCTCGTATGTTTCGTTTCCGAAAGAGCGAACAATTTGGATTATTTGTAACTTATCAGTAACATTTTTGTTAAAAAGAAACAGGAATTCGGTAATAATTTCCGCCCCGCCTGGCGAACGCAAGTCTATCGTGACCTGTCGGAGTAACAATAATTTGTGGCCGATAGCTCAACTATGACTTTTTGTGGACGATAAAGATATAAGGCGAAGCGAATGAAAAAAACGTGCAACTCGGCTTATTTAAAAATTACGTCCAATAGGGATAGATTTGTGACTACGGCAAGCACTGTTCGCGTATAAGGATCCATGGCAGATTGAAAATATCGCAAAAGGTCGCTGCACCACCCTGGGAGTGGAAGTAATCACCAGATACATCACGTCATTTGCCTAATGGTTTCCTGGATTTTAATCTTGCATCATCGGGTTTAGTAAAGTTAGCGGAGATACTCCCATAGGCGCACCTGCACAAAACGCACGCACCGTTAATAATATATCGCGCCAAAGTGATTTTTCAGATTCCAAACGTTTTAAAAAATTACAATGTCATAAGTTATGATGAAGAGAATTTTAAAACTTTCTCTTAGTAATTAACACGAAAAGTTGTTTCTGTATTGATTAGGTGCTTTGTGGTTGTTCTTTAATTTTTTTTTTTTATTATCTTAAAGTTCTTGAATTTATCACAGACAATAGGATTGATTCTGTTGACCAACCGGATCTCTGGAAGTTGATTCAATAATTGTCACACTTTGTGTGTAAGTATAACGAATAGTGATAAATATAATGCAGAACTTAATAACAAATCAGGTTTATATTCTGTTTAATGTTCTGCCACCAAATCAAAAAAAGATTATATTTTACTATGTTAAAACCTGAGATGATTACTGTTAACGAGCTAAGAAATGTTTTCCCTCTAGATAGTTGGTACGATTTCATTTGGTTATTGGCTTCTGCTTTAAAGTTCCTCTTTCTTTAATGTAAAACAGGGTTGCATTGGTTGATACCACCTAACTATGTCAGATCTGGTTTATCTTTGAATTAAATGTCGATGAAACTTTGTTGGCAGCAAAGTCTTTTCGCTGTAGTTTTGGTTAGCAAGCAAGCAAGCAACTAAGTTCAGAATCACGATCCAAAGCTAACCAAACAATTTGAGACATGTATCTTTAGGTCGTTAAGCTCGATTTTTAGTTTTCCAGCTTTTAGAGTTGCTGCACTCACTCGAAGTAAATTATGATGTTATTTTATTAAACACGGAACAATCTATACGGAGCAAAAACGTTGATCTACGCCTCTGGAAGCAACTAATAATACTGTTCCTTTTATCGAAGAATATCGGGAGCACCTGAATTTCGCATGATAAAATGATAAACCACTAGTAGGCTCCCTCCTGCTAATGATTTTATAATGCATTGGGAGTTTCGGCTATAATGTTAATTACATCAACTTCTAGCTGAACACAAACAATTTATTTCAATCATCAAACAATTTTGGAACATTGTTGATTTCAATAATAAACATGTAACAATTTTTTAACGCACATCACTGCGAAATTGTCATTAAAAGCTAATCTCAACAAAGAATATTTCATAGCCACGGGCACTACAATAAACAATTTTCCCAATATTTTTGTCACATAATTGATGGAAAGCTGCGAAAAACTTTAGATAGGAAAAAAAAACCTTTTGGTTATGTTATGGAGTTTTTTTTTAAATCTGTTTCTTTTAAGGTTGCTTATTTTAAGCATGACAAACAGTATATTCATTACTTTTTTCTTAATTGCCCTACATTTCACACTCACAGTGTAGGTTTAACCAGAAATGTTAAAATTATTTAAATGGAATGGCTCCCATTAATAAGGTGAAAGTTAAGATAAAGGGGTTATAATAAAATTTAAGTCGCACTTTATTATCTATTTTCGCAAATGCGACTACTATTCGGTAGATATTCTCTGTAAAAAAACAAAAATCCAAAAATTTATATATTGATTATATAAAATAACATTCCCGACAATCATCTCTAATCAAATAGATACTGAATCTCTCTTTTAACGGATCTGGACAGTGCGAACATGTAAATTCGTAGAACCTGCAATCGCCAAACCTACAGTCATATTTGGAGTATGTTTCTTTGAGTCTGTAGCCGGGCGTCCTGCTATATTCGGCCGGCGGGTATTTTCCGGAACTGCACAAGTATCCGCAGCTCAGAGTTTGGTAGCACTTGTCGGAGCTTTTGCATGTCGGCACTATGCAGCAGGATGATGAGGGAAATGTAGCGTCGTTGTTGTTCAACACGTTCGCGTTGACGGGGTTGTTCGCGTTTCGTCCGAAAATCGTTAAAGATGAGTCTACTTGTCCCAGACCCCAAGTTATTCCCAACACCACTACGATCAACTTATTGCGAAAGTCCTAGAACGTATACAGTTTTGAAGTAGTTTAGTTCACGATAATTAGTATATTATGTAACAAATTCGAGAAAAGCCACTTTAGAATCCAATTTTGCACCAGCGCGGTGCATATAAAACTTTTTCTAAGACCATTCACGCAAATATGTCACAAAGCAAGCGTAGTCAACAAAAAAAATAATGGTTGAAAGTTGAAAAGGAAATAAACAAAATCCAATGCTAACTAAAAATTATTAAGCTGGTTATCATGTGGCAGGTCAGGATTTTCTTTTTCCTGCCAACTTAATGTAATTGATTTTCAGTGGGAAGCCTATAATGATGTCATGTTGCTTAATGGTTTGTCAATGCCGAATTTCTGACCCTATTTTTAGAAAAAGCCTGAGAGTGAGTGGTATATATGGTTTTGGAGAAATGTATTTATAATATCTAGGAAACGAGATATCTTGTGAAGTTTGGTAAATGCATTCTGTAGATTTTTAAGTGCACTGTTCTCCACCACCGTTCGTGATTTGTATTATTATTATTCTTATTTAAAGTTCTTGTCGGATGGAGAGTTATTGATTAAAAAAATAAATTAAAAGTGTTACGTTTCACGACACTGAATAATAATTTTTGTTTAGAAACGTCATTGTCAAATCACTCCTTGTTGGTTTTCGTTAAGTTCACATTTTAGTTCGAATTCAACTTTTTTCTCAGTGTTACGAATTATATGAATACAGAAAAGGAAACCAACAGTTAAGAAGTTTATTATTATCTTGATTATTAATATCTTTATATCAACAAGTATTTATTTATTAATTTTATAAAGAAATACTGTTATTAATATCTAATCTAATATCTACAAAAATTAGAAAAGAAAGGAATAAATGCGTTTTGAGATATAGAAATACATATTACTATATATTTAAAATCTACAGTTCTATAATTTCAAAGATGACGTATTTGGAAACTGTTTTCGATATCCCAACAAGTGACCATCGCGTTCAGTGCTCACTAGCCTATTATTCTTAAAGTGTTCATTCATTTCCAAATAAATATGTTAACAAACAACCAAACAAATAAAAAAACTACTAAAATATCTGTTCTCAGCCACCAACATCAACAAGTAAGGTCAACTTTCACATTTCAGGAAAAAAAGGTTAGAAATGAATCCTGTTAAAAAATTTACTATTTTATATTAGTAACTAAAGAAGCACAAAATCAGTGAAAGAGTGGGGCTCTGCTTCTGTTCTCTAATTCTTGAGATTAATTAGTCCTCCGTTATAATATTAGTTTAATGGAATAAAACAAATATTAAAAATAAATTGAATTTAAAATTTAAAGAAAAATGATGCTCGTGTTTAAAAAAATTAGTTTTTGTTTTGTCCCTTGGCAACTCACTTTTTTTTTAAATTCAGAGCAAACCTTTTTCTGGATTTTAGTTACTTATCAGGGTCCGATTAAGGAAATTTAAATTATTAAATTTAATTTTTACTAACAATTCACTAGCAAACTGTAAATAAAAAAGCCCGCGATGCCTCCAAAAAACCAATTGAATAAATTAAGCGTCGGAACTTATACTGACATTTATCATTTATTTAAAAATATCGCTTGAATTTTATAAATTTCAAAACGGCTCTGGACTGAACACCAATAGTTCGTATCCCTTATAGTCAATAAGATGCTAATAGTGATGAATGGGCATAATGAAGTCTGGAAGTGCCATTATTGACGAAATTTGAAAATAGAGGATAATAATTTGCTAACTAACGTGGCTAAATTTTACTAAATAAGAGTAATTATTTTATAGAATCTCACTCACCATTCTGATTGCTTTTGTCAATCCTATTATTCACTTATTCCTCCTTAATTTCGCACAACAGAGCCGAATAATATTTTCCGTCCATACGGTTTTTTGACCAATACGCGTGGCCTTTTAAAAATGCATTTGCAGATAAATATTCGAAGGATTTCGACGAAAACATAACAGTGGAAAATTAAATGCATTCGGTTACTGATATTCCGGTACAGAAATTTCGGGCTACAGAGTGTCCTTTTCTTCATTTTGTTATTAAGTTTCGATGGTGGTAATTTGTCGTATTTTTACGACAAACTAAAACCAAACTTTCATACGATGTAAACACATTCTTAGTAAATCATAAAAAGATGCCGAAATATTTTAAAATTTTATGGGTTAACAAGGAACGTAGCGTTTATGCACCCTGTTTGAATAAGACACAATGTTTGGGTTCGTGATAGGAGATAATAACAATAACAATAATGTTATTGCGAATGTAAAACGTAATAAGAAATTGATTTCGCATAACAAATACGTTTACGATATCACCATGTCAATTGAGTTTACTTTAAAATTGTGAGTAAAACATGTCTTGTAATTATTTGACAACCTATTTGATTTCTACATATCTGCGTTGTTCAAATTTTTCGATGAGCAATTAATTGATACGATTTTTGATCGTTGTATTGATATTATTTACAAATCTTCCTGTGACGGTTGTTGATGAATCCAACGGTTCGCCAATCATTCTGTCTTCTATGGATCTTGAATCCTAAGTACGCAAAGGAAATTTGTTGAATATCGTCATGGTTGCTTAGTTCTTCTCTCACTTGTGTTAAATATAGCATTATCTATATGAGGAGCCTTCATGCAAATACAGATATCTTCACTTTTTACATAAAATGTGATTCGTGCAGATTTATATGTAGTTGGACGTAACGTAGGTTGTATTTTATATGACTCTATGCTTTTAAAGTTTGGCCATGTGCCGTCATATTATTGCTATCATTATTATATTAATGCGACATTGCAAGATCGATTATTCAGAAGAACAACTTTTTCTATTCTACTTATTTTAAATTAACCATCATCGGAAGAAACCAAAAAAGATGAAATTAAAGCCTAGTTTACCCTAATCTATCCGAACCTAACCTTGTGGCAACCTTATTGGGCAGACAAGGAAAGGCTTGTTAAAAAGTTATATATAAAGTTTCTAGGTTAAATGTCAAATTAATTTCTGTAGCATTTGCCAAGGGGCGTTATTAGGCAAGTTCATTATTTCTTTGATTGGACTGTGAAATTTTAATTGGGGTCAAAATTAAGCGAAATTTGCAGGAAAAATTGTCAAAACAACATTTTACATTTTACATTTTAAAAATAATTTAAATATAATCCATAATTTTATCCAGTGTCCCTAAGTAGTTTAAATAATCCCGAAAAAATACGCCTTGAACGATGACGTCTTGCAAGATATGTAGATTAATTTGAAATTTTTTGAATAGGAGCATTTTTCTTTATTAACCTCCAGCACTTACATTTGCTCTTCCATATCCTTTGACATATGCACTGAATTAAGGGGAATACTATAATACCCTCTCATTAGTGCCCCTCTCATCATGCATGACCAATCTATTAATAAGTTTTCGTAACATTGGACAGTTTTTTGTCGATAAGCAACTTCAAATAATAATTTTTTTCTCTGCCCAACTCTAAAGTGTTACTTTATGATTCGGTGGTCCACTGGTTTGGGAGCAATCGGATGTTTTCGATAGATTTTAGCATTTTGATGTATTCGAGAATTGAACTCAAAACACACGGTCGTAAAAGAAGTATATTATGCAGGGCGTTAATAAACTTCATCTGTCATTCGTTGACATTGCACTTTAATAATAATATGAAGAGTATTTGGCCCATAAAAGTCGTTTTCAAAGAAATCCTGCTATAGTCAGAATAAGGTTAATCGCCTGTACCCGAGCCACACAGACTAACTCTGATCAGTTAGAATCTCCGATAAAGCTTAAATAATATTTTAGAGAGTTTAAAAGTAATATTTGGAGTATTGCAGGGTAGGCCTTAGCTCGGCTTAAGGGAACTAATTCTAGTTCATAACTTGTTACTAGTAGGCATTGGTTAGCACCGAACAGGATAGAAGTCACTACTTCGTGCAGTCAAAGAAGTAACTATTGCTGCTCACCTGCCCATCTTGGTCGCATAGCCTAACCCGGAATTGTGGTTGTGGTGAATCTGGTGACCCGACCTAAGACATAGATAGTGACGACAATTTTCCTTCTTTCCTTATCCGCGAGGGGTGACAGGACCCTCATCGCGGAGACATCCTTTGACATCCATATGTTAGTCACTACTCACCGTCCAAATTGCCTATCATGCAGGACAATACTTAGCAAAAAAATATAAAATCTGCACAAGGGAACGAAAAAATGAACGGAAGTTTGTTAATTTTTCGATAACTGTTCACAAACTAGAAACGTCCGTGTGTTTTAAAAGTTTAAATAAAAATTGCACGCGGGTCGGACGAGGTTTCCGCAAAATAATGATGCCGACATTCGCAGATTGCATTTCACCTCGTTTTTAATTTCAATATTTCCCAAGTTCCGATAAATTAAAATCCTATCGGAATATGGTGCTAAAATGGAGTGTCACCGCCAACAATTAAACCTACTGGAATTTTACGTTTCCACCTGCATTAAAGTAATACTCGTTTTGCGCAATGCCCAAGTCTTTGGTTCAGAAATTATTTTATATCCTTAAGCCCACCATTATTTAAATTCGCGCCTCGATTTAAATTGCCATCCGGTTTAATTTTTGCTTTACATGGCGGCGTATACTTCAGCAAACCCTCTTCAGCACAATGTGAAAATTTTCTCACTCAGAAATTTGGTGACAATTTGGGCATCTTTTTTCATCCGACCATCAACATAAAAAAGAAGCACTACTGCAAAAATTATATATAACCTAATTGGATTCGTTTGATATCTTACTTGAATATAACGTATTACAAGAAAAATAAAGTCTCGAAAGTTTAACGTGAAGTAAAGTAAAGTTGACCCCAACGTTTAAATAATGAATATTAAATAATACACTTTAGCTATTTGTTAAAGTTATAATTTTTTTCTTCTTTCGGGCGATCATTTGTTCTTATTGATAAATTCAGAAAAAGTGATACAACTTTTTTTATTTAAATTTTTTACTTAGCCTTTTTAATTGATTCTGTATGTGTGCTAAAAACTGATATGAAAACTAATAAAAAAAATTTCATCAATTGACACCTCATTGGTCAATCTCATGACAATGACAGTATATTTATTCTATTCAGGGTAATCGCAAAAATGGATATGCTAGAAGGCAAGATGTTACTGGACAAGGACGGCGTTTGTCGCCCAGTCAAACAGATTCTCAAAAACAAGAAAATAATCATTTATTTTTTTACCGCTTCTTACGTGGAGAATTCGGAAATCATCGAAAAGTTGCAAGAAGTATACAAAGAAAACGAGAAACGAGATACGGGTATGGTAATCATCTACGTATCTTCAGATGGTGAGGAAGAAAACTTCAAGTACGATTTCGGTAGACAGGGACCTTGGGTAGCGATACCATTCAAAGATGCCACGGCTGACGAGCTTAGGTACAAATACGACATAAGTTGTCTGCCTGCTCTGGTCGTGGTCAACCAAGATGGAGATATAATCACTAGGAGAGGAAAAGAAGAGCTGGAGCAACTAGCCGTGAATGTTATAGTAACTTGGAGCGAATATGTTCAACAATAAATGTCGTGAGCTACTGAAATTCATGCAAGTGAAACTATAAATGACTGGCCATCAAATTGAGTCTGCATTAATGAAATTTACAGATTTTTAAATCAAGACGATTAAAGCCAGAGAAAGAATATAAAACAGAAAAGTATTTTTTATTCATATTCTTTTTAAGCATTAATAAAAATGAAAGGCATTTGAACACTCAATTTTTCTCTCGTTTTTTCGACTCCTTAAGTTAAGGGGTTAACTTAATGAAAATAATAAATTTAATACGTTCAGTAGGAAACCAATGTTGTACCACCACTGATGTTAGGTTTAAAGGAAAAATACTTAACAACTTAGATCTTTAAAACATAGAACCCCATATTTGACGACAGCAAATAGTGGAATTTTCAACAAATACTATCCGCGTGTCGTCAGATTTGCAAAATAACACTTATTAAACAGGACGAAGAAGAAACGTCCAAATTCATGGTCGATGTAACATCAAATTCTTCATTCTTAATTATTAAATAACTTGTTAGGCACTAGTTAATTTTTATATCTTCTAAACTTCATATCTATAATTTGCAATGAAAAATTGAATGCGGTTACGTGGCACCATAAATTTATATTGGTTGCCTGCAAATTGACTGCATCAAAGAACAACATTTCAGTTTTAGTGTTCTGTTCTGCAGAGCAATAGAGTATCACTCAATACGGTGGTTTATATAATGTATTTAAAAAGAGCGACTAAGATCTCCAAGCACTTGAAAACTAATCCTAAAACTAAAACCTACTTTCATAAAAATTAGAAACCTTGGAGAAACCCTGAAGCAACCTTAACAAATCATTTCTGGCAACCCTATAATACAGCATAATATATTAAACATTTATTTATATAATTAAAAAAAAGATCAAAATAATCTGCTAACTCCACTTCATGTTCCAATGTAATAAATTAAACACAATATTCAAGAAACAACTTCCCAAAAGACGCAGAATCAACAATTCTCAACAATAAATTTATTGGTAATTAATTCTTCAAGACTGATAGGTGATAGTTGTTAAAGCTTGTTAAATCCATGAAATTAATTATATGAAATTTGTAGTGTATCGGATATAATATTACCGAAGCTGTTTTAATCAAGCAGAAACATCAAAGTTTCTTGCAATGTAAAGTATCTATTCCACTTTATTTTTAACAAGCTTCGGTAGCTTTATTTTCATAGAGTAACCACCCCATTTAGGTGGTTAAAATGCCGCGGCTGAATGCAATTCCGTTCCCTTGTCAAGTTTAATCGTGAATTATTCCTGCGTTTCTCTTCGCATGGACCCGTCTCAACTTTTAAACGAGTCTGTTTACCAACTTTACAAAAATATTTTAGCCGGAATCCAAAGGGCCTTTGAGGCATCCCAAATTCTAAGGTTCTACGCGTTATTCTCTCAAATGAACTGGTGTTAATGTGGTGTAGAGTTATGCATATTACAAGAGACAAATATAGAGAAACTAATAACGACTTCCTAAGTAAAGGTGATATAGACATGTGATAGACTTTGGCCAGCAACAATACTAATTCATCTACGTTTTTTATATTCTAGCGTAGGAGGGAAAATATATTTAGATTTATTTTTAAAAATGCTAGCCTTTTATCACGTCTTACGCTTTGCACGTAAACAAGGCATAACATGTCAATGTACAGTCCTCGTGCATTTCGAATTGACTCAAAAGTGAAAAAAATAATGTTAATGCCCGTTTCGATAATTACCAATATCTGATTAAGGAAATAGATAATTTAAATTTAAATAAAACCAAATTTTTATTTACCAATAGACTTAAAAGAACAAGATGAGCATCGAGTTTGGACAAAAATTAATATGATGTATTCTTTAAAAAGTTGGAAAGCCCGTATTTGAAACAATGAAATTGATATATGCGAACTGTGAGTATGCTAATCAACAAGATAATATACACAAACTATCATTTTAACAACCAAAATCACAATTGGACTACGATGCACTATTTGCAAAACTTTTGGATTGCTCATGGGTTGGTTGTTCCTTTCATGGGCTTATTGAGTTTTGAATATGGTGGCTAAGGCATGATTGTGGTTTTATCTTTGGCCTAAAAGTTAGACACAAGCAAAAATGAGTGAGCAGCTGAATTATCATGATGCACAATCCATGAATTGTTTTCCCATAATTCCGGGCGTTTTCTTGGTATTGCTTCTGCCAAACGGAACATAACTTCAAGCTAATACTGTTTATTGACCGTACGACCTTGAGGTAAGAACTCTTGATGTACTACGCCCCGATAACCGAACGAAACAGAAGCAAAACCTTGACATTTGATCGAACTTGCTTTTTTCGGTCTTGGCGATTCTGGGTTCTTCCACTAGGGACGACTGGACTTTGGTTGCGACGTCATAACCGTATATCCGTGATTCGTCACCAGCTATGACCTTTTTGAGCATATCACGATCCTTTTGTTCAAAATTAAGCAGTTCCTGAACAAATTTTGCTGCCATCATTGCTGTTTTATCAGTTATTGACGTGCAAGTGGTTTGCAGCACTGTGTTCCATTATTTATACAAAACTTTATACAAATTGTTTGTTCCATTTTCTCTGACAACAGAAAATCGCCAAGCACATAAAACACGTCTAACGCTTCTGTCTATATAACAAAGAAAATATCGAAGGTATTTGCAATATGGAATTTACAAAACACGGAGTTTCAGTTCTTCAACTCTTTCATCAGTTATTGACTGGGGCATCCAAAGCGAGGTTGGCCAACGGCGTCCTCTCGACCACATTGAAACAGCTGTACCAGTCAAAATGGTTTAGCTATATGCCATTGTCAACATTTCAATTGTTTTCAGACACTGTATTCCACGTCTAACGCTTCTGTCTGACAAAAAAAGTAAACTTGCAAACTGGTTAAACCTGTGAACATATGTTAGGGACATGTGTACCAACATAACAAAAACCAATATCGAAGATCGAATGTACGTAGCCCGCCCAATCACAAAATTCTAGTAATTCTTTTAGCAATTCTTCGGTATCTTCTATAACCAAACACTGCTATTCTTTTACGTATATATATGTAAGGCATATTTAATTTTTGTTTTATGTATTGATGTAATGGGTTTGGGTTATTAATTAATTGATAAATATCACGCTTCATTACTAATAAGTTATTAACCGAAATATCGTTCACAACGTGCTGTCAATGTTAAAATTCCCTCAAATCAATAAATACAAAAAATAAAGCATAAATAAATTTAGCACGTATCGTTGTTTAGAATGCGACACAATCGAAGGATAATTCGAGACGGTCGATTGATCGGCAAAATACAAGAAGGGCACACTGGCACTGCAGCAACGGCAACGCTCATTGAATAGTCTGGCTTCAAGCACCGAGTTTTGCTAACTAATCCAATGAGAACGGTCGGTCGGACACCATCAATCGATAAATTAATGAATTAGTGCAAAACGCAGAGCGATGCTTTCAACCGTGTCGGAATGATTTGTTAGTTGCGCATTTTAACTAGCAAAATTTACTAATTAGTAGGGGAATTGTAAGTTTTTATAGGCAACGGTGCTTGAAAACAGTAATTGGAGGGACGCGTGAGTGTGATTCGGTATTGCGTTTCGTTTTCGACGTTCCTTTAATTATAATTTATTGGACTGTCATTGGAAAAATCTAGAATACATGATACTCAACTCCATGTCCTAGACAATAAGAAATATATCTATACCACATTTAAAAAATTATTCAAAACACTATGTTCATGTTTAGCACTTTATAACTTCGATATTGGCAAGGTGGGAGCCTACAACATATACTAACGACAACGCAGTCAACGCTATGTGGCTAACCAAGTCCATTACCACCATTATTTATTTAAAGTCTGTTCATAGATATAAGAAAGTGACTAACTAATACGAATTAAGGAAAGACCCGGGCAAGCTGTAAGAATGAAATATGGCCGAACAGGTCCGTACTTTGCTTAGAATTTAATTATTTGGGGTTTTGTTAGGAAAGATACTAAACAATATTTATTTGTTTATTTATATGTTTATGTTTAAATCTAAAACAAAATTACAAATTATTTTTATTATCTACTTAAATTACTTTAAATTATTCACATAATATATCAGTATCACTATCGCTATCATCGCCTGTTCTAATCATTATTTATTCTATATTATTTGCAATATGGATATAGGATTGTTCTGCTTTTTCTATATGAATTTGCCCAACTTTGTGGAGGGATGTTAAAAACTTCGGTTTCTATAAGTTGGTGCAAAACAAAACAATGGGATTAAATATGCAGTGGTAAGGTAAGGAAGCCTTAAAACTGTATGACCTAGATTTTTTGCATAATTATCATAATTATTTTGTAGGTTCAAGCTTTGTAGAACCTCACTTAATTGCTTTTTGGTATAATCTTCGTGAAAATAAATGTCGTTATTATACACGTAGTTTTGGATTGTTGCTTTTGTGTCACATGAGGAAGGGGTTTTAAGCAACTGTCTACTGTGATGACTTGCATTGTCCATTACAATGACGCTATTAAGAGAAATGTTTGGAACTAGTTTGTTTTTAAACCAATTTTCAAATAAAACAGCGTGGTATATTCATGGAAATCCGGAGAAGAATCTTTAATATTTTTCGCAGACAGAGAAAGTCCATTTGGAATCCAACCATCTTAACCTTTTTTTGATGGCGCGTTTGTTTTACATTTATCAGTCGAGTCAACCCAACCCTTTCCCGGGGTATCACAAGTGCCCAACCAGATTTCATCCAAATAAATAATTGGCCTTTGTTGTTCTCTGTAAATCCCAATTTTTTCTAGATTTTTTTAAATCTAAAACCCATGTGTTGAATACACTTCCATAAGGTAGTTCTGCCACATTTAACACCGGTTTCATCTTTTTCAAGCCTCCTAATTAAGATATCTAATGTAGGCACTCTTTGTTCCTCGTATAACTGATAAGTTTTACGCCGTATTATATCTTGATCACTGTCTACACTCGAGAAAATGTCAGCGTCGCTTCT